CTCGTAAGTCGGGGGGTCGGTTTTGCCCTCGTATGCCAGCGCATTCAAGGCTGCGGACCCGTAGTCGAAGTGCTGAAAGGTATTCGTCGAGATTCCTGCATGCGATGACGTGAGAAGTCAGTCCATGCTTCGCTCCAAAAGTATCAAATCCATGTGATATTTCGATCTAGCCCTGCCTGCCTTCCTTCCTTCTAATCTAGTCAAGATCGATCGTCCAGTTTACCCTGATGGAGGTGCTCGAGATTCTTGTACGACGTCACTCCATCCCATCCGTTGGCGAGCGAGAGCACACTCGGACCCAAGCAACAATCGGGGCCTTTATTATTTACATGTTGGTACAGCAACGAAAAACCGGTTCAGATTCCAATCTGATTGCAGAAACAAATCAATCGACAGAAGAATATCGATAAACCGAATCACCCCACGAGCCCATTTTTCTAAATCACGGGGAAAAACCGAATGAGGAAGGGATGGTCAGTCACCCGAGATGGCGAGCCGCAGACGAGAAGCGGGGCCGGTGAATGGAATGGCATCTAGATGAAATTCCCTGGAGCACCACGGATCAGTATTAGCTCCGGATCTTTCCTAACTTCACAAATATCTTTTCATGGCTGCTGATGTGGACAGATGGAAGATACTCGATTTCACGTCAAGTCAGGCATGCTACTGATGCATACCCACCTCTGAAAGTTGAACGCACCGAGCCTGTTGTCGTGCCATTCGTCGTCGCTCGTGCCTAAGGCCTGTAATCACAATACAGCGGTTGTCATTGTCGATTCTCGATTGCAATCCCGTAGTCAGCACTATCAAGTCTGACAGAATGAAACAGATAAGGAGAAGGAGGTCGGAAGCCTCACCGAGGGAAATGGAATAGGATCCCAGGCTTGCAGGAACTCTGAAGTAGTCTTCTCCCGATAGAAGGCGGGAGCTATCAGAGTCAGAGTTTTCATGAGACTGGCGACACTCGCGTTCGTGGCTGCGGCTGCCCCGACTGCAGCGCTCTGCATACATCCATCCAAGCATCCAACCAGTCACGGCAAATAAGCTTGAGCTCGAAGCCCGAATGCGGATCTTACTTGTAGGGAGGGAGGAAATCACAGTAATCAATACATTCACGCACCAGAGAGACGCCGACGTAATGCACTCTGGAGCCAGTCTCGTCGCTGATGTATGTCAGCAGCTTGGGAACGTCGTGCTCTACATGCTGATCCCAAGTCCAGTTCCAGTACACCTGCATAGTCGTATCCTTCCGGTCAGTCATTTGCAAGAGCCAGAAAATATTTGCAAAAACGCCACACAAATGCTAAAATCGTCAATTTCCAAGCGAAAATCAGCAGACCGGGAGGATCGTGTTGCACGTACAGCATCGTTGGGGGTTAGCTTCCGATGCTCGTGACTCCAGAGCGTCGCCCGCTCGTGACCGATCCACACATCGAAGCCCTGGTCCACCAGCATGAGAGGGAGCAAAGTGTCGTTCTCGGTGGCCACGGGCGTGAACCAGCTGGCCCCGTTGAGAAGCTCGTGGTGCATGAGCAGAACCGGGTCCCGGTCGACGAGTTCTGCATTTCGGGTTCGAGTCCGAGGTGGCTCTCGGCCATTGCTGATAGTTAATCCCCTCCTAGCAATGTTCGGCGAGGACAAGCCAGGTGGACATTTAGCACTGGAACTGGAAGTAGATCCTCCTGATCCATTCGGTGAGGAGCTCGTTGACAATGGAGGCGAGCCTCCGTATCCGGATCCACCAGGTGCTGGAGAGAGAGCAGAAGTTGATGGTTCTGACGATCCCTCTCCGTAATTCCCTGCACCTGGTGGAGAGTTCGATTCTGAAGGAGTGGGAGGAGAGTAGGAAGGCGGTGTGGATACTCCTTCGTATGGCTCCATACCAGGAGTAGTCGTTGGTCCATATCCGCCAGAGGCAGGAGGAGGGTTGAAGGACGTGGGAGATGGAGATCCTCCTCCTATTGCGCCGGCACTTGGTGGTGAATTCCTAGAACCGGCGGGACTGGGTGCACCATATCCAGCGGCTGCCGGGGGAGAGTAAGACGATGGAGCTGAGTTCGATCCTCCATATGTGCTTGCACCTGGTGGGGAGAACGCAGAAGGAGTGGGACCTCCATATCCACCAGGCGGGGAGTAGGAGGACGAGGGTGAATATGATCCTCCATATGCGCCTTCACTTGGAGGCGAGGAGGAGGACGGAAGACTGGGACCTCCATATCCACTAGGTGGAGAGTAGGAGGACGACGGCGCAGATGGTCCTCCATATGCTCCTTCACCTGGAGGCGAGAAGGAGGAAGGAGGCGAACTTGGAGATGGTGGACTTTCTGACCTGCTGCTAGGACTTGTGTACGAGGGTACAGCCTCAGGAGCTGGGCGTGGTTTCTTGAACCCATGGAAGGGCCCCTTGTGCTTGTGCTTATGTCGGAGCTCCGGCTCCAGCCATTCCCACACAGACTTGTCCAGGTTGCCCCGAGGTATAACACGATGCAGACGAAGCATGTAACCATCTTCCGAATATACCTGCCAATGTATACAAATCACACATACACCGACCATGTTCAGGTATCTTCTGCTTGCACAATCTCAGTGAAGCCATGTCTTCTTAAAACATGCCAAAGCAAAAGCGAAAGTTGCAATTTATTTGTCACTACTCTGCTATATAACACTGATGAGTCGAGCCGACATAGTATCTATTATTAATCAAGACCACTAACCTCATGCTCTTCGCAATTGTATCCTCGAGGAAGTACATAAATCTCGCAGAAGGTCAACGACGCATGCGCATCCATCTCCAGCATCTCCACGCATTGGCTCACAACAGCCAGAGTAGCAATTAGAGTAGCTAGTGACAGCCAGGATGATAAGGGCCGACTGCTCGACCCCATTGTTCTCAGTTGGCTGACGATGCACGAACTGTCGTACAATGAATGTTGATGACTTTGACAGACAACTGATTTACAGAAATGCGATAATAAAGGTTTGCTGATAAAAGTGAGCTTTAGACAACGATAGAACTTGCAAATGTATGCTGTATCTTGAAAAGATAATGATTGATCACCACCTTTCCTCTTTATAGCTGTCACCTGAGGCTTCAGACCAACGTCTCCTTCTCTCAACCGCAAAATCAACTGCTTTTGAAATTTGTTCTTAACAAGAATCGTCAGATATCCTCTCAACTGCTTTCATGGAGTCCAGATCTGGCGCAAGACGTATACGTTGCGGTTTGATAGCTACTAGCCGTAAAAAAATGTCCCTTCATGCTCCATGGCGAGCCTGAGATGGATCGGTCCAAAATACCGCTGCATTGAAATTACTAATCGTTCTAAAACATGGATTACATTTCAAATATTTTGAACCGATGAAAACTTGAAGTGGGTGGTTGTTTCTTCACAGTGAATTCAGCTGCTGTTATCTCCTGGATCCATAATCGGTAAGTGGACGAGGTCCTTGTGTGAATTGAGCTAGTGTATACATTCGCAGGCACTGCAGACAAATCCAAGTCAAAGGATAAATAACGCATATTCGAATTACGCAAGTTACGCTTATCACCGTTCTCGCCATGCCGTTGCACAACAGATGTGTCGTGACAATGCTTAAATATCGGATTGACCTATTGACTCGAGACATTGCCATGACAATCTTCTGCTCGGCTACAAATTCTCAGCTCGAGCTAGCGTGAATATACTTGCAACAACGACAAGTTGCATGCAGTGGCCGTTGCAAGTTACTGCGTTCCCTTCGTACAAGTTATTTGTTTCGAAACCGATGTCCCATTTCTCTATCTACCGCTATGACTCGGATGGTCACCTTGCAAATGCGAACACAAACCCGTCAACGCGCATCACAATATCTGAATATTTGATTCGATTGCAAACTCGCCACCATGGAACTGGAGTTTAGAACCTCACTGTTCGTTTCTTGTGATACAAGTCTCCAGCTCCTTAGAATTTCTGGAAGGTGTGCACCTAGAGCGTGGTAAATTCACTGCATCCACTCGGCTCGACTTCGGAAAATTGTGTAACATTGCTGGCCCAGAAGATTCTGTGCATATTTGAAAACTTCGTTCCAAATGAAAAGAGAATAAGCATTCGTCTATGCATTTCTTTCTTTGAAATTTGGCCGCGCAAGGTGAGCTCTTATTTCTCTCTATGCTGCTCCAGTCCATCGTTCACTAACGATAAACCTCGACTTTCCACATCGTCTATACTGACAGAGAAAATGTGGAATATAGTGATATTTATACCTTCTAAATTTACATCTATGAAAATTTTCTTTGCAAAATTGGTAAATGCGGTTCCGTCAGGGAAGGGGGTATGGATCACTGCGGCGCCGACGTATCTTACGAGGTGATAGTCTTTAACAAAATATCGATAAATGTGCGACGCACGAGGAGAACTAATCTCGGACTCAAGCCAATGATCTTGCTACTCGAATTGCCTTTCCAACCCAGGCGAAAGGTATTCGTCGAAATTGCTCCATGCAAGCAGTTCATCCGCAGATGTGAGAAGTCGGTCCATGCCTCACTGTCATGGATGAAAACCTCTGTTTGTTGCTGTTTCCAACACTAAACTGATTTACAGAAGGGCTACAAAATTGGTTTGCTGACTAAAAGTGAGCTAGAACGATAGAACTTGCAAATTAATGTTGTATCTTTGAGAAGATACTGATTCATCAGACTGGTGGACTTCACATCTGGCCCATGAAAGTTACGTTGAGGCTAGTAGCTGTCAAACGGATGTAAACATATGTATCATTGTTCTAGATGGCGAGCCTTAGATCAACTTATCAAATACATGGCTGCATTGGAACTTCTTATCGTGCTAAAACAAAGATTACGTTTCAAATATTTTGAACTGAGAAGAAAATGAAGTAGATTATTGTACTTCCGAAGTGAAGTCAGACGCAATGCATTCAACTGCTGGTATCTCCTGGTTGAATATTGGTAGGCCGATTCAGCAAATCCCCATGCTGAATGCGACCTGGTCTTATTATCAATCCCCACGCCTTTCCATTCCGTATGACGATTGGGATGCTCTTGTAATCAATGGCTGTGAAGGTAACTCCTGAAACGAAGTTATAGTGCTATTCGATGATCAATCATCTGACGTTTTTGGAGTTAGAATTTTATTTTTATGGTAGGAACAATGCGGTTGCTTGTTGTTTCAAAAGTGCGCTGCCGACTCGAAGACCAGCCATAAAAACAAGGATGAGTCCCTTGTCGACAAGTATGGATGCAGTTGAAGGATCACGGTTTCAATTACCATGGCACAGAAGTCATGTATAGTGGTGTCTTGGGCACAGAACTTACGTGTGAAATTTGCATCGGCTGTGTGTACTATCAATGACTTCGTCATATGGTTGGAGACAAGTATCAGGTGCGCGAAGCTTGGCTTAGATCATATGGTGTTTATCTCAAGAAGTTCGTGCAATTTGGAATATTCGTTCTGGACTTCTTGCCAAACTGAGTCATGTTGTTTGGTTCACCATGGGATCTATGTTCTGTGTCATGCTTGGTTTTGTCTGTTGCCGTACCAAATGCATAACCAAATGCCTGTTCACCCCGTAATTTTGTCCTTAGGTGAGATCCACTGGTGCTGTGAATCCTGTGACACGACAGCCTGTTAAAGGGCGAAAGTTTGGAAGTGGTATTCGTTTCGGAGAGATGGAGCGAGATTCGTTACTTGCTCATGGTGCAGCGTACTTGTTGCATGATAGGCTACATACTTGCTCAGACTATCCAACTGCGGACATTTGTGTTCGATGTGGAAGTCTGTTGCCTACCCCACCTGTAATTCAGCAGAAGAGCAGTGCAGCTTTTGCTATGGAATTAGGGTCAAGTAAAGAGAGCAAAGTCATCAAAAAAAGTGTGCAATTCAAGTCGGGATATTGAGCTTGTGGCCATGCCTTACGTTTTCAGATATCCTGCCTCAGAGTTGGCAGCCATGAACATCAAATTAACACTTACAATTAGCAATGGCTGATATATAAAAGTATATCTATTTTCAGCTTCACATCCTCCCCATTTGTACATTTGACGAATTTGAATGCAATGCACTTCGTCGAGCCGAGCGGATGCTTTGAGTTTACCACGCTCTTTGAGTGCACACCTTCCAGAAATGTCCAGGAGCTTGATACATGTATCACAAGAGACGAACAGTGAAGGTCCGTCCAATTTTTCGGAGAACTTTCGGCGAAACTCAATTCTGGTTGGAAATTTTTCATTTATGATCAGAATTGAATCAGCAAGAGAGATTTTTTTCTTCACAGCAGTAAACACATTGATATCTTCTTGTTAATGGATGTCAGTTTATTAAAGTTAATTTTAAACTGATGCAAGGTAGAAGCTCGAATACCCCTCCAGCCTTGTAACCACTTCCTTGTGATCTCGATACGAACTCAGACCTCTCTACCTACAATCCCGTTGCAGTAGTTAGTAACACTAGCGAACTTGCTTCACATTGCCAGGCCTGCTTCGCTGTTTAGACATGATTGATACGATTTTCTTCCTATTAATTTACATTTCGTCTGTTTCGATCTCGTACAGTTGTTCTAGTGTTTCATCAGTCAGATAAATTCCGCCCATATTCAGTGCAGAACATTTGAGCTTTCTTGAGACAGACACTTGGTAGGAAGAAATATCGGTGAGAAATTTTCATTCAACACAGCAAGAACAATGAGATAGTGGTTGGAATCTTATACAAATTCTATTATTGGTCTGAAAGATTATCGCTAACGACTTTTTGTCAGATTTAATTTAGAAATCGCAGGAGAGGTATGCAAGAAGATCTTCACAAAACGAAGAAGAGGAACAGCTCCACAGAAATTTTGGAAGGTCATACATGGCTGTCATCTACAATAGCATTTTCATCCGTGGATTACGGTTGGAGTAAGGCACAGCATCGTCTCCAACCAGTTCTTGTGTTATCAAGATCTATGAGGTTGTTCATTGAGGTTCAAGGCTTGCACCAATTGACGCAAGATTCATTTGCTTAAAAATTTCTATGAATGTATATGTTTTTTCTAATTTGAATTTTTCATCTGCCTCAGATTTTTGTTAAAAAAAAATTCAGCTAAAATTTGATACCCATTATAATCTTCAACAAGATATTAACAGATTCGCTCTAAATTTTCTTGAAATTATTTCATATCAGATTTTGTGCATTTCAATCAAAATTTGAGCAAATCTGTATAGAATTTTTATAAAAGGAAAATTCCTTATTTTCATTGATTAAATGTAATAAAATATTTGAGTCATATGTTATCTAGTTTCAATTTGTGTCAAATATGATTATTGGAAAAATTTACATATTAAGTTTTATATATGGACAGTTTATGCCATAGTTTTTTTTTTAAACATGAACTAACTATAAAAATAACATGTTAAGATGTTTTGAAGTTAGTACAACAAGTTGCTTGATTATTTTTATATTTAAATTACAATTATTTTTTCTCATATCTTGAAATATCTTTATGCTCTCTTGATGTTAAAGGATATCCTGCCTATGTAAAAGAAGTCACTTGTCAACTCACCAAGAATTTCCTTTTATAAGAGGAGTATCAAGCTATGCGCTGTCTCTATTTGAATCTTGGAAAGATTACAAGTTTATTAGATCACTCAATGAACGTTATCATAAATCGTAGGGCATGACTATATGGACCCTTATACTAAATCGAATCAATTTGAATTAGAAATCATATCTTCGTGCTATTGATGCGTTGTGAGTAGAAAAATTAAGCAACTGCTCGAAGTATTGATTCACAGAAAAAATGAACCTCTACGAAGTGATATAACCCATAATGTACAATTAATCACAAATGATTTTGCTTGCATCCAACTTGATAAATCAAGGTAGGGTAATCTATCCAGGTCGATCAATCTGATAGACCTTGTGATCATTCTATAGAATTTGATTTAGTGCCTACCAACTCTCTTTGCGAGGTGGAGCTTATTGGGTCCTTTTTTTGCACAGTCCCTTTATTGGGTCCATAAGTACTATTCACTAGCGGTAACTCTGTCTTCACCTTCAAAGGCGATTGGGGTGACAGCTGCATAGAGATTACACTTTATGTCTTCGAAAGTACAGTATATCCACTCCTTGCAAAGTAGGAAATACACGAGGATCTGATACGAAGTATGTAGTCTGTGCACAGGGTTTCCGTGACAAATGAAGCCGGTTATAAAGTTTACAGTTCATAAGTACGAATAAAAAAGTAACTACTTTGTTTCAGGGGTGGAAAAAGCCCGATTTTTATTGAAATAATTCGGGTTGATTGAAGAACCTAATTTCAACAATGGTTTTAATCAATTATATAAGACTACCGGTAACTAAGCAGCATATTACAATGTAGTAGCAAATAGTTCATGCTTCTAGGAGTTCATTATCATTATCGGATTCATCTGATATCAAAATTGGACTCGTCCTCAACATTTGACTGACTTGAGATTATATTTGTAGCGCGAGCATAAAGATGAAAAATCCACGTGTCCGAAAAAGGGTATTACCCTTTTTCGGACTTAAATTTGCTACTTCATTCCTTCACTCAATAATCAAGAGACGGTAGGTACTTTGTGATACAACTAGAACTGAGTCTACAATTGAATAAAGATGTGTTTGGATATAAAGCTTCATCCGGAGTAAATATAAACCTTGTCATGGATCTGATATTTTTTTCCAATTCTAATAGTCGAAAATGAAAGATGGAGAAAGATAGATGAGATCGCTACCTGTCGTAGACAAAAAGGACATAAAGTTCTAAACAATGTGGTTTTTCCAAGGGGTGTATGAGCACAAGGTTTCAGAATAAGATGCAAATACATCAGTCAACCAAGGCCAAGGAGGTAAAACATGACAGCGAAGGTTTCTCATGAGGAGACTGTAGAAAAATACATGTAAAAATCTATGGATCAGTACATGGATGTTACTGCTGGAGGATCGGACAGCGGATATATATACACACATAGCTGCGAGGACAAAAAGTTCCAGGGCGAATGGTGGAGGAGCTCTTGCCGCAGACCTCTTTGAAAACATTGCTGAGTTCATGGAGTTCATTTGGATCCAACAGTATCTCAAGATTGTCAAAATGTCATTAGAAAGGGGAAGAGTAGCTGAACCAGATCAAGCAGGAAGAACAGCGAGTCTCGGCGGGCCGGAGGCTGGAGTGCTTTCCGACGGGTATGACCCTTCACTTACAGTGAAGAGCTCTCTACTACTTAGAATGTCGATATCTTTAGCACATATCAGCTCTTATCAGTTTTATCACATGTGAGAGCAAATGATGACTGTGGGAGCTTTCCCCCAATTCTTCTTCACCAAAATTTGATCTGTCCAAATTATTCCCAATGACTCTGTCTAGTTCGACTGTTTCTAAAAATGAGGGTTAAATGAATGTGCTTCAAGGAAAAATCATAGCATTTATGGGCTGCATCAATTTCAGGGGCCTTGCTTCGTTTGAAAAATTTACAATCTGGAAGATCTAATCTCCCAACCCAATAAGATTGGGAGAAAAAAACTTACTCTTTATAGATTCCAGATGTATCTTTCAGTATAAACAGTTACCAAATAGTTATAGTAAGTCTTAGCTTGATTTTTTTTCTGCGAAAGACATGTGCTTGTTGGACACATACCCATATTTTATTCCATGGACATCCTTTCTTTTAATCTCAGTATAAGCTATTAATTTTCACTCTGAATCCGCTGAAAATCAGTATTTTCCTTTTTTGTTATTTCATGTACACCTTGAAGTTTTATATTATTTATGTTTTCAAGATACATATGTAGAAAATGTATGCAATGTGTCGATCTTGTTTATGCTGTTCATCTTGAAAAAAGGAAAGATGTCACAACCTTCTTGAACTATTCAATAGTAAGTAGAAAATTGTTAAATCGATCACATTTGGTCATAGTATGTGTTTATAATCTGTTGTGCTACTCTACTCCTGATTGCATTTGAGCTTAAATTTAGAAGTGTTTGACACTTCATAGAGGTGATGTTATATTGATGGGCATAATAACCAGTAAATTAGAAGTCACAAAAATATTTTTATTGAGGCCATTGCCTTTGTATCAAATCTTTAGATGTGTACTTCAAAAATCCTTCATTATTGACTCTGGCGATTACAGAATGTATATAGTTAAGAATAAAAATAAAGAAAATAGAAAAAACTAGTTGTCCAACTTGTGAATGCATGGAGGGAACCTTTGAGATATAGTGCTTTTTTGAGGTTTGGTTGAGTGGTTTGGGACCAAAGCATGACTTGAGAAACTATATCATTCATTTGTGTGCATATATACATATATACATAATATTTTTCTCCGGTAGTGAGTTCCAACAAGTCAAGTTTGATCTTCACCAAAACTCTACCTCTTCAGGAATTGAAATCGTGATGGACACGACAAACGTCGATCTGACCAACCAAAAATTGCAAAATACCAACATACTTATCACCGAGCGAATGGGAACCACTTGGAAAATGGACAAAATCACCCGGACACGATAAAAACAGGATTGGCTGTATAAATATCATCTTACTCTAATCTAATGGATCCATGTGATTTTTCTATGAACGCTACGTACGGGAAACGAGCAAGAGCGTCATCTGAATACGGTTTTAGAGTAAGTGGTTTGCGACAGTCAACGATTGCATCGACCAGGTGTTAGCAAGATCTGAAACTGGGCACCTTCCAACCGGGATGGGACTAGGACTGTCAGAGGGTTCAAATATCTTCATGCCCAAGGATAGACTGATAGCTCACTCCATGGCAGACGAGATATTTTTCTTATCGAACCAGGGATCCAAATCAAGAAAGGAAGAAAGGAAAAATTTCATTGATTTCATGAATGTTCGAGAGACGAGTGCACAAGTGACTTGTTCACATGCTCTGAGTGGATAGACCCCCAACGGTGAAATGGTACATAACTAGTAAAAGTTGATTCTACGTCAAGTACTGAATAAATTGTGGCTATCTCCGCATGAATATCATATGGGCAACAGCTGATTTTGCGTATTGAGATATCTATACCTCTATAGACTACTGGGACTAATCGTACGATTGAAGGCATAAACCTCTCCAACAACAGCTGCTGATGATATTTCTATTATTACTAACTACTACTACTGGGACCATGGATTAATAAGTTTCATAGTCTGCGTCAAGCTCATGAATTCCAGGGCACCTTCGGGAGGCGAGTATAAATCCTGCCCTCCGTACACCACCAACATCGGAAGGTCGGTGGGAATATCTTTGGGCTCGTAAGTCGGAGGATCGGTTTTGCCCTCGTATGCCAGCGCATTGAAGGCTGTCGACCCGTATTCGAAGTGCAGAAAGGTACTCGTCGAGATTCCTGCATGCAAGCAGTTAACGCGATGATGTGAGAAGTCAGTCCATGCTTTGCTCCAAAAGTATCAAATCCATGTGAATCGATCTAGCCCTGCTTGCCTTCCTTCCTTCTAATCTAGTCAAGATCGATCGTCCAGTTTACCCTGATGGAGGTGCTCGAGATTCTTGTACGACGTCACTCCATCCCACCCCTTGGCAAGCGAGAGCACACTCGGACCCAGGCAACAATCGGGGCCTTTATTATGTACATGCATGCACAGCAACGAGAAACGGGTTCAGATATTAATCTGATTCCACAAACAAGTCGATCGACAGAAGGGTATCGATAAACCGAATCATCCCACGAGCACATTTTTTCTAAATCACTGGGAAAAACCGAATGAAGAAGGGATGGTCAGTCACCCGAGATGGCGGACCGCAGACGAGAAGTGGGGCCGGTTAATGGAATGGCATCTAGATGAAACTCCCTGGGGCACCACGGATCAGTATTAGCTATCGATCTTTCCTAACTTCACCAAAATCTTTTCATCGCTGCTGATGTGGACAGATCGAAGATAATCCATTTCATGTCAAGTAAAGCATGCTGCTGATGCCATACTGACCTCGGAAAGTTGAACGCACCGAGCCTGTTGTCGTGCCATTCGTCGTCGCTCGTGCCTACGGCCTGTAATCACAATACAGCGGCTGTCATAGTCGATTCTTGATTGCAATCCCGTAGTCAGCACTATCAAGTCTCACATAATGAAATAGAAATGGAGAAGGCGGTCGGAAGCCTCACCGAGGGAAATGGAATAGGATCCCAGGCTTGCAGGAACTCTGAAGTAGTATTCCCCCGATAGAAGGCGGGAGCTATCAGAGTCAGAGTTTTCATGAGACTGGTGACGCCAGCGTTCGTGGCTGCGGCTGCCCCGACTGCGGCGCTCTGCATACATCCATCCAACCAGTCACGGGAAATAAGCTGGAGCTCGAAGCCAGAAAGATTATCTTACATGTAAGGAGGGAGGAAATCACTTCAAGGATACATTCGCGCACCAGAGAGACGCCGACAATATGCACTTTGGAACCGGTCTCGCCGCTGATGTATGTCAGCAGCTTCGGAACGTCGTGCTCTACGTGCTGATCCCAAGTCCAGTTCCAGTACGCATGCATGGTCGTATCCTTCCTGTCAGTCATTAGCAAGAGCCAGCAAATACTTGCAAAAACGACACACAAATGCTACGAATCATCAATTTCCAAGCGAAAATCACGAAAAACCGGGAGGATCGTGTTGTACTTACAGCATCGTTGGGAGTAGGCTTCCGATGCTTGTGGCTCCAGAGCGTCGCCCGCTCGTGACCGATCCATACATCGAAGCCCTGGTCCATGACCCTGAGCGGGAGCAGAGTGGCCACGGGCGTGAACCAGGTGCCCCTGTTGAGAAGCTCGTCGTGCATGAGCAGAACCGGGTCCCGGTCGACGAGTTCTGCATTTCGGGTTGGAGTCCGAGGTTGCTCTCGGCCATTGCTGCTAGTAAGTCCCCTTCTTGCAATGTTCAGAGAGGACAAGCCAGGTGGACATTCAGCACTGGAAGTAGATCCTCCTGACCCATTCGGTGGGGAGCTCGTTGACGATGGTGGCAAGCCTCCGTATCCGGATCTACCAGGTGGTGGGGAAATAGCAGATGTTGATGGTCCTGATGATCCCTCTCCGTAATTCCCTGCACCTGGTGGCGAGTTCGATTCTGAAGAAGTGGGAAGAGAGGAGGAAGGCGGCGGCGTGGATTCTTTTCCGTATGGCTCCGTTTCAGCAGGACTCGGTGCTCCATATCCGCCAGCAGCAGGAGGAGGGTTGAAGGACGTGGGAGATGAAGATCCTCCTCCTCTTGCGCCGGCACTTGGTGGTGAGTTCCTAGAACTGGCGGGACTGGGTGCCCCATATCTAGCGGCTGCCGGGGAAGAGTAAGACGATGGAGCTGAGTTCGATCCTCCATATGTGCTTGCGCCTGGTGGGGAGACCGCAGAAGGAGTAGGAGCTCCATATTCACCGGGCGGAAAGAAGGAGGACGATGGCGAAGATAATCCTACATATGTGCCTTCACTTGGAGGCGAGGAGGAGAATGGAACACTGGGACTTCCATATCCACCAGGTGGAGAGCTCGAAGACGATGGCGGAGATGCTCCTCCATATGTGCCTTCACTTGGAGGCGAGGAGGAGAATGGAACACTGGGACCTGCATATCCATCAGGTGGAGCGTTCGAAGATGATGGCGGAGATGCTCCTCCATATGTGCCTTCACTTGGAGGCGAGGAGGAGGAGGACGGATCACTGGGACTTTCATATCCACCAGGTGGAGAGCTCGAAGACGATGGCGGAGATGCTCCTCCATATGTGCCTTCACTTGGAGGCGAGGAGGAGGTTGGATCAATGGGACTTTCATATCCATCAGGTGGAGAGCTCGAAGACGATGGCGGAGATGCTCCTCCATATGTGCCTTCACTTGGAGGCGAGGAGGAGAATGGAACACTGGGACCTGCATATCCATCAGGTGGAGAGCTCGAAGACGATGGCGGAGATGCTCCTCCATATGTGCCTTCACTTGGAGGCGAGGAGGAGGAGGACGGATCACTGGGACTTTCATATCCACCAGGTGGAGAGCTCGAAGACGATGGCGGAGATGCTCCTCCATATGTGCCTTCACTTGGAGGCGAGGAGGAGGTTGGATCAATGGGACTTTCATATCCATCAGGTGGAGAGCTCGAAGACGATGGCGGAGATGCTCCTCCATATGTGCCTTCACTTGGAGGCGAGGAGGAGAATGGAACACTGGGACCTGCATATCCATCAGGTGGAGAGCTCGAAGACGATGGCGGAGATGCTCCTCCATATGTGCCTTCACTTGGAGGCGAGGAGGAGAATGGAACACTGGGACCTGCATATCCACCAGGTGGAGCGTTCGAAGATGATGGCGGAGATGCTCCTCCATATGTGCCTTCACTTGGAGGCGAGGAGGAGAATGGAACACTGGGACCTGCATATCCACCAGGTGGAACGTTCGAAGATGATGGCGGAGATGCTCCTCCATATGTGCCTTCACTTGGAGGCGAGGAGGAGGAGGACGGATCACTGGGACTTTCATATCCACCAGGTGGAGAGCTCGAAGACGATGGCGGAGATGCTCCTCCATATGTGCCTTCACTTGGAGGCGAGGAGGAGGTTGGATCAATGGGACTTTCATATCCATCAGGTGGAGAGCTCGAAGACGATGGCGGAGATGCTCCTCCATATGTGCCTTCACTTGGAGGCGAGGAGGAGAATGGAACACTGGGACCTGCATATCCATCAGGTGGAGCGTTCGAAGATGATGGCGGAGATGCTCCTCCATATGTGCCTTCACTTGGAGGCGAGGAGGAGGACGGATCACTGGGACTTTCATATCCACCAGGTGGAGAGCTCGAAGACGATGGCGGAGATGCTCCTCCATATGTGCCTTCACTTGGAGGCGAGGAGGAGAATGGAACACTGGGACCTGCATATCCACCAGGTGGAGCGTTCGAAGATGATGGCGGAGATGCTCCTCCATATGTGCCTTCACTTGGAGGCGAGGAGGAGAATGGAACACTGGGACCTGCATATCCACCAGGTGGAGCGTTCGAAGATGATGGCGGAGATGCTCCTCCATATGTGCCTTCACTTGGAGGCGAGGAGGAGAATGGAACACTGGGACCTGCATATCCACCAGGTGGAGCGTTCGAAGATGATGGCGGAGATGCTCCTCCATATGTGCCTTCACTTGGAGGCGAGGAGGAGAATGGAACACTGGGACCTGCATATCCACCAGGTGGAACGTTCGAAGATGATGGCGGAGATGCTCCTCCATATGTGCCTTCACTTGGAGGCGAGGAGGAGGAGGACGGATCACTGGGACTTTCATATCCACCAGGTGGAGAGCTCGAAGACGATGGCGGAGATGCTCCTCCATATGTGCCTTCACTTGGAGGCGAGGAGGAGGTTGGATCAATGGGACTTTCATATCCATCAGGTGGAGAGCTCGAAGACGATGGCGGAGATGCTCCTCCATATGTGCCTTCACTTGGAGGCGAGGAGGAGAATGGAACACTGGGACCTGCATATCCATCAGGTGGAGCGTTCGAAGATGATGGCGGAGATGCTCCTCCATATGTGCCTTCACTTGGAGGCGAGGAGGAGGACGGATCACTGGGACTTTCATATCCACCAGGTGGAGAGCTCGAAGACGATGGCGGAGATGCTCCTCCATATGTGCCTTCACTTGGAGGCGAGGAGGAGAATGGAACACTGGGACCTGCATATCCACCAGGTGGAGCGTTCGAAGATGATGGCGGAGATGCTCCTCCATATGTGCCTTCACTTGGAGGCGAGGAGGAGAATGGAACACTGGGACCTGCATATCCACCAGGTGGAACGTTCGAAGATGATGGCGGAGATGCTCCTCCATATGTGCCTTCACTTGGAGGCGAGGAGGAGGACGGATCACTGGGACTTTCATATCCACCAGGTGGAGAGCTCGAAGACGATGGCGGAGATGCTCCTCCATATGTGCCTTCACTTGGAGGCGAGGAGGAGGACGGATCACTGGGAACTCCATATCCACCAGGTGGAGAGTAGGAGGACGACGGCGGAGATGATCCTCCATATGCTCCTTCACTTGGAGGCGAGGAGGAGGACGAAGGACTGGGACCTCCATATCCACCAGGTGGAGAGTAGGAGGACGACGGCGGAGATGGTCCTCCATATGCTCCTTCACTTGGAGGCGAGGAGGAGGACGAAGGACTGGGACCTCCATATCCACCAGGTGGAGAGTAGGAGGACGACGGCGGAGATGATCCTCCATATGCTCCTTCACTTGGAGCCGATCCTTCACTTGGAGCCGAGAAGGAGGAAGGAGGAGGACTTGGAGATGGTGGACTTTCTGACCTGCTGCTAGGACTTGTGTTCGAGGGTACAGCCTCAGGAGCTGGGCGTGGTTTCTTGAACCCAGGGAAGAGCCCCTTGTGTTTTTGCTTATGTTGGAGCTTCAGCTCCAGCAATTCCCACACAGAGTTTTCCAGGCTGCCCCGAGGTATGACCCGATAACCATCCTGCGAATAAACCTACCAGCGTACACACATTACACATAGACCGACCATGTTCAGCTATCTTCTGGATACACAATTTGAGTAAAGCAATGAAAAAACAAAAGCAAAAGTTGCAGTTTTCTTCACCCCTATTCTGCTTTACAATACTGATCTTAGAGCCGACAGAGTATCTACTAGTAAATGAGACCACTAACCTGATGCTCTTCGCAATTGTATCCTCGAGAAAGTACATGAATCTCGCAGAAGGTCAACGACGCATGCGCATCCACTTCCAGCATCTCCACGCATTGGCTCACAACAGCCAGAGTAGCAATTAGAGTAGCTAGTGATAGCCATGATGATAAGGGCCGATTGCTCAACCCCATTGTTCTCAGTTGGCTGACGATGCTCGAACTGTCGTTCACTGGATGTTGCTGATTTTGACACAACTGATTTGCAAAAAGGCGATAATGAAGGTTTGCTGATAAAACTGAGCTGTAGACAACTATAGAACTTGCAAATGTATCTGAGCTTTGGACAACGATAGAACTTGCAGATGTATGCTGTATCTTCGAAAAGATACTGATTGATCAACACCTTGCCTCTTTATTGCTATCACCCGAGGCTTCAGACCAACGTCTCCTTCTCTCAACCGCAAATCAACTGAATTTGAAATTTGTCCTTAAAAAGAATCGTCAGATATCCTCTTTGAACCGTTTTCATGGAGTCCAGATCTGGCCCAAGAAGTATACTTTGCGGTTTGACAGCTACAAGCCGTAAACAAATGTCTCTTCGTCCTCCATGGCGAGTTTGAGATGAATTGGTTCAAAACACGGATGCATTGGAATTAGTGATCGTTCTGAAACAACGATAACATTTCAAATATTTTGAACTAATGAACATTTGAAAAGGGTGGTTGTTCTTCCAGAGTGAATTCAGCTGCTAGTAATTCTGGATCCAGAATCGGTAAGCGGACGAGGTCCTTGTGTGAATTCAGCCAGAGTTTACGTCGGCAAGCACTTCTTGTCCTGCAGACAAATCCAAGTCAAAGGATATATACCGCATATTCGAAGTACGCAACTTATGTTTCTCACCGTTCTCGCCATGCCGTTGCACAACAGATTTGTCGTGACAATGCTTAAATAACGGATTGACATGTTGACTCGAGACATTGCCATGACATTCTTCTGCTCGGCTACAGATTCCCAGCTCGAGCTAGCGGGAATATACTTGCAACAACGACAAGTTGCATGCAGTGCCCGTTGCAAGTTAATGTGTTTCCTTCGTAAGAGTTATTTGTTGCGGAACCGATGTACCATTTCTCTATCTACCGCTATGACTCGGATGGTCACCTTG